TGAAACTCCATTAACGTTAAGATCAATTCTGTATCTTTGGAAACGTTGCAGTATATGCATAACTAGCAAGTATCTGTTTTAAGTTGTCATCTTGCTCCGATATCTTATCGATTCATCCTGTTAATAATCATTGCATTTATAGCTTCAGCACACAACGCCTTCTTCTAGTTTCCATGCAAGTGTAATTAATTATTTGTCATTCAGTGATCTATCGCCTCATCTGAACAGATGATTAATTTATCATCGAATCGCAATAATCACTTGTCACTATTACTCGACTACTATAAATGTTATGCGTTTGGAATAAAAGAATAAGAAAGTGAGTTTAGTTAGAGAAAATTGTCGTAAGAAGGAAAGGGCACTAATCGAACAGCGATTCGTCACCAGTTAATACCTTTCAATCACAATCAAGCCAACCATCTCATGCACGCAGCCATTATTACTGTTATTACTATGCGTGATTGACAGTCATAACCTGAATCAGTAAATTCACCTTTATAATGATTAATTATTCCATCATTTATTTTTTGCATGATGTATTCATCTCGTATTTTTCAATGATTTTTCTCTTGTCTAGTGACTGATCTATGCGCATTTTGATTGATATAATGTTTTACGAATTCAGAGCAGTATAACTATTCTGAAAAATATTCTTTTTTGATGACATTCGTGAACGCTTAACGCATTTTTTATGGTGTTTATCAAAGACTCATATTGTTAGTATAGGCGTTGAACTGTTTGTTTGATGTGGTTGTTGTGTAGAAAGTTCGTTACTGGAAGCGAGAATTTGTGACTTCTTCTTGTTGCGTACTGAATCGACCAAAATTTAACGCCTTCTTGTCAGTTTTGATATTGTTACAAAGACTTTTCCTATTAAACTGATTTTGGGAGAATTTGCATTCATTCTTTCTCTTCTCGAGGTTCTCATAAGCAAATTGAAGCTCCACTAAAAACGTGTTTGACAGAGTGAGTGATAATGTTCGATTCAAAAAACTTCACCACTGTGATGTGTGTTCAAATTGCATATTTGTTAATTTCAGTTTGTACTCTTCGAAACAGTTGATTAATAGATAAAATGAAAGTTTTTTGGGTGTAATAAGAATTCTGATTGAATAATTTCTCACAGTAAAATTTCATTTCGTGGAAAATTCCACTGAACCGGTTCTCATGGCTGCAAGTTCCGTGAACGCGTAAATAATGTGAGTGAAAATCAATGTGCAAAGCAATCGTTGTGCAAATGTGTTGAATGCTATAATGAATATTTAATTGAGGTGTTGATTCGTTCATTCGAATAATCCATTCTCCTGTGGTATATTTTATCACTATCTGACGATGAGTGATCTGAAAAATCGTTTCGCTAAGCGCTGCTCATTGCAGGCTTCGACATGTGTGCAAGTCAAGTAATTATTTCTCGACTGTGCTATAGTATTCGTAACTTTTTACATATTTTGAGCGTTGGCATTCGAAAAATGACGCTCATTCAAGTTGTCAGTGATTGTTCAATAAAATGTCACACTCAGCAGCGTGCGGCTTCCTTCAAAATTTTTATCTTTATTGTTATGATATTATCATTATTATTAACATGATTATTGTGATCACTGTTACTTAAACACTACGAATCAATTGCTCAAGCTATTAAACGATTGTCTGATGGATGCAAACTGCCCACCCTACCAAGTAATAGTCATAAATGAGCACTTGATCCCATAAACTCTGATCAGTACGCCCTCAAAAGCGTTTTATAGGTAACTTCACTTTTATTTCATCATGTCTCATTTTAAAGTTTCAACAAAATTTTGCTATCACTCAAAGTTGCAATCCTTCTACATTCATTGCAGACGTAAGCATTCAGTACTCATCAGTGCTCTAAATTTGCATCATTCATTCGTTGTTGTATAAATCGTTTCATTGCTCATTATTATTTCTGCTTTAGTTTTCAGTATGATTATTCATTCTACGTCTGTCATCGTTCGTTTACAATTGCACTCAATTACTTTTGTTTTTTTTTTGTATTTTCAGTTTCATCTCTACAATGGAAAAATCTCTTCCTCTTTTTTTTGGAAATTTTAAATTCAGTCGGAAAATGCAAAACTCATTGTTTATTCGTTTATTTGTTTAATCAACAATTGTGGGCTTATGCCTTTTTCTTATCACCAATATCAGAAAACCTAAGAAATTCGTGATGCTTAAATTCGCAGTCTCATTGCTCAGACATCAAAATTGAATTATATTCATCTTTTTTTCCACTTACACAGGAGAAAATTTATGCATCCAATCAGCATGCACCCATGACATGTGGAATGCAACAAATAGCTATTTGAATGCTTCCATATCTGACCGCATAATATTTGTCACAAAATTCGTTATTTTCCTGAAGAATGAATTCAATTTTTCATTATGTTTATCGTGAATAACCAGTACTGTGTGTTTTGAGTTTATTTATATATTCAATTCGTTCAATTCAATGTCATGATCATAATTCATCATACATCGTTCTGTGATGTCTCATAAGGATGTTTCATCCCCTGGAGAGTCGAATGGTTCCATTTACTCGTAATTTCTAAAATTTAAATTTTGTTTTGAACGTCAAACAAATTAAAGGTTTGCTGCTAGTTACTGGGAGTTTTTCAGAAAATTTTGATGTTTGAGATAGTGACAACTCATTGAGACATTAAGTATTTCGCTCTTCTTATCGGTATCCCATGAAAATGTTGCAATTAAAAGAATTTTTCGAGTTCGCTTCTAGTACAATGCATGCACATAACTTTCATTTGTATTCTTATCGCATAATTTGACTCCTCGAATTTGAAGGCAGCTATAAGTAAAATAATCGTAACTCAAAGAAGTTATTTCAGTTGTGTGAAAATGTTTCATATCATCAACTGTTGTTCGATTCATTAGTTCTCATTGAATACGTTCAGCTAGATTGTATTCAGCAGAAACACCTTGGAAAACAATCCCTTCATCTATTCATAATTTTTGAAAAATATTTGTTCTTACTCCCAGTTTCATTGTTTTTCGATTCACTGTGCTGTTCATTTTATTTGCATCATTATTCTTTGATAGATGTAAATTCTACGTCATAAACTATTTCTCATTTCAAAATGTCGAAAGTGAATTTTCGAACGGTTCAGAAGTGAAAGTTGTCGAAATGAGCTTTTGCTGTGTGTGGACTCTGCATCACATGATTAGACCCCATCACCATCATCATTAATTAGGAATGCTCTCGTTCTTCGAATAATTCTAATAGAATTTCGAAAACGCATTCACTGGTTTTACTTGTTGCACATTTGACTCGCTCTTATTTTGTTCATTTCGATTTTCGTTAAATGAGCCGAAAGTATACATGCCTTTGACAATCCATAATAATTCATAATCCTTTGACAATCCATAATAATGTATGCATGCATTCCTTCATGCTTCCATGACAGTTGAGCTGCTTTCGTGATTGATAAACTCATTCATATCTGAAATGTTCATTTATACATGTGAATTTTCCATCTATTTCTGGATTAACGCAGAACTTAATTATTGTCGAGAATGGAGTAGTTGACTTTTAAGATTCGCTGCAAAATGTTCAAAGTTTTGCGGAAATCTCATATTCCCATGCAGTTTCCTATTAATGGCACTTTATTATATTTGACTAGTCGTCTCATCTTATGCAAACAATTAGCTTAAAGCACAAATCACGTATGCAAACAGCAATAAGATCAACCTTGTTGACACTTCCGTCCAGTTACGAACAACATATTCCTTTTGTTTCCTTGTAATTGTAATTTTCTGTTGAACGTTCAGTAGAGCTGTATCCACCAAATATCATTTTTTCCTCTCATTTCAGCAGTCTCATGTTGAAACCACAGTGTTTGGTTCCATTGAAACAGTCCTTCAGCTTTTTGGTTCATCAGAATACGTCATTATATGATGAAATAGTCTTATTATTAGGCCGTCATGAAATGAGAATATTTATACAGATATTATTAAATTGAGGATGTTGTTCAGGAGCAAAATATGGGCAAAACATTAGTCTGCTCAAACGATATGCAGTACTTTTTGGTTAACTATGGTAAACATTTCTGTTGCTCATTCAGTTAATCCTTTTCGCTAACAAAATTGGTTTTTCTTCCTCTTTCCCCAAGATTTATGTCAACGTGTGGTTTTCGTAGGATATCTGAAATGATATTAGAATGAAAAAAGTAATCGTTTTGTGAATGCGCATGCCGTCATTAGGAATGTGTTCATCAATAGGGAGTAGTGTACTGCATTTGTTGTTTTTCCTTAATCATTTCTCTTTGTTCTGTTGCTAGCATACGCTTACGTCTACATCTAAGTCTCTCTCGAGACTTTCCAACTTCAACGGAATTTCTTTGAATCGTAAAATTTCATCAGTCAATTTCTCAACTGTTGCCTTAGGATATTATTTTTTTAAATTGACGTTACGGTCAAATGTTTAAATCAATTAACGCATGCACAATTGCTTTCGTTCATCAAAAATATGCATTTTTTATATGGCTTATTCAACAGCTACTGTCGGTGAATAAAATGTGTAAATAGAAAACAATCACTGATGTCAGCAGCGACGAATGAGAATTTTTTGAGAATTGTTGACCGGGATTAGCGAATTTTTGTGCGTATTTGACCGGAAGAGTGTTGACTATATGCGATTCATATATCGTTCGAATCTTCTTTTCTCGAGTTATTTCTTGTGCGTTTTAACTTTATTTTGTGATTCATTTACGCAGTGCATTTGGAATGTGATGAAAATCTTTTTATCCGATCTTTCATTGAATTGATTCCTTTTTCAGTTCGCCGTGGAAGACGTTAATTGAGGAAGGTAACGTAGTATTGCGGAAATTATTGAAAGACGTTTCGCTGAAGTCGACTCGAGCGCACTAAATCGAAAGAAAATAGATATTGGATTGAATATCATCTAAACCGGATTGAATGATGATCGGTCTAGTATAATTAATGAGGGAAACACCTCAATAGATCAGAGTGCCAAAATGTGGTCCACTGATGATGTGATTCCTTTCGAAGCGAATAATAACATCAATATTGATATTAACAGCAATAACAATACCGTCAACAATATCGCTCTCTGTACAGAAACTTTAATAAGTAATCTTATGAAAAACGATGTATGTTACAAAGGCAATACCTCACCACAAGATCAACACAGCAATAATTCAAGTTTGGAATCACTGAATTCACCTCTAATCGATGACAATCAGGTGGTATCTACGTCATGCTCTGAAGATTCATTTGAAATGTCAAGTACTACTTCAAGAACCGCCAATGATCTGCCAACGCCGTCCGATCATTCTTCGTATCCGTTTTTAAGCAGTGATTCAATGAAACGCGCAACTCCTGACAATGGACACGACGTCGTTGATAATAATGAGGAATACGAATCCATCGACAAAACAGATTTGAAAACAGAATCAGATGTCACAGAAAACAATCACTCACAACCGATAAGTTCAGCTGAATCACACCAAACAATCATACCGAATCGATCTAATCAGTCAGTAGAGCCATGCGAATTGAAATCGTCTGAAGTTGGGCAAACGTTGATTATGACTCAAAACAAAATACTGGAAGGTAAATGCGAATCAATAAATGCTAATGAATCGGTTGATGTTGATGTGAATACAAATGCGAAAGCTGTTTTTGAAGATGACGTAAATCATAAAAATGAATCTCAAATTCAATTTGTGCCCAAAGTTAATGAAGTAAACAAACGAACCGAAAAATCTCAGTTGATTGAGGCGAGCGTAGAAGACATTTTCGTTGGAGTGTCCTCTAACGAGGGCTGCTCTTCTTCTGAAGTAGCTTCTGAACTGCCCGAAACACTGCCGAATGATGATCAGACTAATTTATCAGCGATTTCATCGCCTATCAAGACTTCCTCAGGAGATCATCATTCATACGAATCCGATTGCCCTCATTCAGCTATTGGCAAGGAACACAACAAAGATGTTGCTCTCGCATCGGCAAGTTCAACCGAAATGTTATCAACGAACGAAGTTCCTTCTTCGTCTGCCATTCCCTCATCCACAAAAGAGATTGGTGAGCAGAAGTCATCTACGATGAACTCATCAGAATCGGATTTGTTCAACAGATTGGATGAATATAATTGGCGTGTGCCAAGTACATCAAAATCGATGGGATGCATAAGCAATAAAGAAGCGTTGCAGAAGAGTATTGATGCTGAACTGAATAGTTTAGATACGTGCTTACCGAATCTTGACTTCAAAAAACTCGAACAGCAACTTCATAGTGCTGCTAGAGAACGACTAATTATCGAGAGAAAATTACTGGGTGAACAAGTTGGTTTTTGAATTGTTTTCGTTGCGATACACAATAATTTCATATGAGACATTTTATTTAATTACATGTCGTTGCATTCTGCTCGGAACTGTTTAAGACAGACGTTCTATTATGCAACTAAAAAACTGTTTCAAATGGTTCTTCTGTAAATTGAATCATGAAATGTTCCGAGAATTGGGCATATTCTCATTCGTTGATTTTTGTGGTAGCGAATTAATGGCAGTGTTACTTTTAATTAACACCAAAGAAATTGATGACAGCGTTACTCTTTTCGATTGGCTAAAAATTTCTTAAAAATACTGTAATTGGTAGTGGCAAACTCGCATCAGTAGCATTTATAAGCAAGTGTCATCAAGTGATGCAAAAACGTTTGTCAAGCAACTCTCAACGATGCATTGCGACTATTGGAAACAATGCCTTTCAACGTAGAATAATTGCTCCGTAACAAACTTCCGTTGCACTCAGTTGATTCAGCCACTGTTCAAGTCGATAGAAACGTTCGATAACCCTGAAACGGGAACGTTTCGTGTTCAGCTTGCTAATTTTGCATTGAGAATTTTTCGCAAAATTTTTGTTCAGGAATGAATCTATTCGTTTTTGTTAGATAGGAAATAGTGTTACTTCAACTTTTTCATAAGACCACCTTCATATATATATTATATTGTTCAGAATCGTCTGAAATTACTTGTAAAATTACATTCCATCTAATTTCATTTTATATTATCAGTCTTACTCGCGTTGCCGTCAAGTTCATAGGGGTGTAAACCCAACAGTAACGAGTGTCGTAAATAATAACGGTTAACGTCGTTATTTTTTTGCCGCTTCAGTTTAAGTTTATTGGCGACAACTTTACGACTGAAGGATTATCGATTATCATCGTTAGTGATGATGCCTACATCTGGTGGCTTTCAAAGAAACAGACATTACAGCAATACCACCCTATAAATCCACCGATTCACCATTCTATTCGGATAAGAAAATGAATTTGCATCACAAGTTGCAAACTGTTGAGTTCAGGAGGTGAAATTATTGAACATGATCAATTTGAAGGTGCGAAGAAGACTCGCCCTACAAGTGGATCAATTAACTGCGGGACCATCTCCACGTGTTCTGACACGACCATCGAAATCCAACTTGGGATTCCGTTTAAAAACAGCAATGAATTTGCAGGTAAAATACTTCCTATCGTTGCCACCTATGTTCCTGTGTCCAGTCGTGAAACAATCGTTTACCTTCGTTGAATTTTACGAGTAAATGAATGCTTCAGCATCCACTCAGTTCATGCCATTGCCTTTTGATGCCATAGATTGCTTTGCCACCTTGTCCCGTCTTACCTGACTGCGTTCGTGAATAGAACTTGAAATGTCATTATGTCGCTAACGAGATGAACATCATCTAGAGCGATATGTCAGAGATGCACTCTAAAATATAACTGAAAACGGATGCAAGAAACATCATAACAACGATCGAGCAAATCGAATTATATCGTGACAGTAATAACCACATTATACTGTGATCGAGTTGAAAACTTGATAGCGATACGACCTCAGATTAGGTAAATAGAGTATTGCATAGTTGATTTCACAGTTGTGCCATTGTTGTTGCTCAATGTTCATTTATTTGCACTGATCATTCAATAGTCCTGATGGTCTCAAAATATCACCTGAGACAAAATAGAAATTCAGAACTTTTCATTATTACCATATCAGTCAATTTTTTCCGCCTCTTTGTTTACTTGCTGCAAGATCGCTTAACGAAGATGGACAATGCAAAACGGTTCAATATTTGTGTCATCGCTATGATTATTTCAAAATTTCAATTCAGTGGCGATGAAAATTGTTACTTTTTCACTATTAAATGTCAGAAATCATCTTTAACGTTCTCGAACTAGTCACTCTTTCAAAATGAGGTTGTTTGATCAGTCAATTGTTTCGCGTACGACTCACGATTCTTACGATTAACATCACGCAATATCACACTCTTGAGTTTTCAGTTTTTTGTATAAAACAATGAAGATATGGAGTGGTTATGATTGAGTTCATAGGATTAAATAGAAGTGCTTTTTATGGAAACGAATACTTGTTCACGCACATTACATGAATCGTTTGCGGTCGAATGTTATTTTATAATAAATCCTTTAGATTATAAGTTATCTGTGCTTATATGTAATACTGAATACTGAGTGCACTTAGCGAAGAATTTCAGACAGCCGCCGACTAATGCATTGCAATGTTTAGTTTGAATATATGTAAGCATGTGTTTGCACTTTTAAAGCAGGAACGGAATCATTTCCTTTCAGTGAATTTTAGTATCATTCCAAATTTTTCGTTCTGTACAACAATGTCACTCAGTTAATTCGACTACCATGTTTTCAGATGAATTTGAAGTTTGTTTTCATTTTATTTCATCTCAAATGTTTTCAACAGCTTGAAATTTTCATCATAAATTTTTTCTTTTCGTTCAGTCGGAAATCTTCTATGGTTACATTTTCAGTTAATTCATCACTATATTATGGAAGCAACATGAATTTATGATTCAATATGCATTTATCCTCGCCTTCTTCCCACTTTATGAATTTTTCTTTTAATCAAAATTAACTAAAAAAAAATTTAAGTAGAAATGCCATTATTAACCTAAACATTGTATTTGTTGTAAATATGAAAATGAAGCAGAGATTTAAAGGTCTGCTATATGAACGACATAGAGGATGATGAAGATGCGGATTCTGATTCATCATCGGACGATGACTTCGGTGTGCCGAAATCGAAATCAGCACCAAACCTACGAGGTCATGTTCACGATGGTTCCTCAATGAATGCGTCACAACTGCGAAAACAAATCGCTTCGAATCAACCAAGTTGGTCATTCCATACTGTCTGCTTTATGTTTACGAGTCAAGTTGTTCATTCATTCAAGTATTGACATTCATTCAAATTCTTCTTAAATTTTCAGACACATAAGTTATATTCATGCCTAAGTGCAATTGTTATCTTTTTGCGCTGAATCGTTTCTCACAGCATGACATGTTGTCGTGGACGCAATAGTCAGCTTTCGTACTGGTTAAACTATCGCTGGCTGATAGATGTTAATAATATTATAATAACAAACATAATATTTATGCATAGCAGTTTCATTTTATTA